TATCCGTTTCCTTGGCATCTGCTTCCTCGCGCGGCCTGACGAGGGTTCGCTGGACAAAGTCGGCGGCTTCCTTCTCAGAGACACCACTGCCGTACTCGATCACAATCTGCGGCTGTTCATCATCCCGGTCACGTAGATCATCGGCATCCCGTTCCAGCGGCGCTCGCTGCGACAAGGGTTGGGAGAGGAGACGTGGGGGTGCGTAAGAGATAAAGGCAAATTCATGCGACCGGGACAATATCTGCAGACTCCGTAGTGACCCTGTAGCGTCTTCCATCACCGGCGCTGCGCCCGGCATGAGGTCACGTGATTGCATTTATCGGTTAGCCTCTGGGACAACCAATCACAGGTACGGCAAATTGCACCAACGTGGCTAGCAGGTGCACACATACCAACACCCGTCTCCTCTTCCTACCTTGAGACAGACTCATACAGGACTTCAATGAGACGACTGCCACGCTCACACACTTCGGATGCCGCTCCCTCGGAAGCGGACGCCAGCCCGTCTGATAGTCAACTTCATCCTACCTATTCTCTATAACCTCTGTATGGAATACACTATTCTTCCCACCTGGCGTCCCACTTCCTCTCTTCATCTAGGGGAGGGCGGGCCTGAAGAGCGCAGCGCCAAGGGTAATTCTTATTAACTTAAGCTACTGCGGTAACTCCAGTGCGAAGGGAAACAGCAATCTTTACCTGGAAAACACTATTTTAGACCGTCAACCCTGAACATAAGGCAACTGTCAGATAGGTGGCTCCAGTCACAAAACAGTGGGTCAAGGACTCTCCTAGTACGGGTATGATGTGAATCGGGGTTTAGCAAATAAAAATGACATACAGCTGTTGTGGGAAGCAAATAATAAAAAAACATATTTATCTATTAGTTTCTTTAAATAAACGAATAAAACCAAAAAAAGGCCAGCGCAAAAAGTCAAGTACCGACGATTAAAAACCGTAAACTAGCGGAGGAAATAACAACCGACGAGCATGGAGCAGATAGCTCCGGCAAGCTAAGCCCGGACCACGATGTAACATGTCGACATT